CATCGATATCAGAGCGGCCTCAGTTTACTCTGGAGTGTTCACACAGATCTTTAAAGAGGAGAGAGGGCTGTACCAGAACCAGGACAAGGTGTTCTGCTTCGTCCATCTGAGTGTTCAGGAGTTTCTGGCTGCTCTTCATGTCCATCAGACCTTCATCCCTTCTGGAATAAACCTGATGGACGAAGAACAAAAGAATAATTCCTCTTTATCTAAATTTCCTAAGACAGTAAAACTAAGTAGTCTCCATCAGAGTGCTGTGGACAAGGCCTTACAGAGTCCAAATGGACACCTGGACCTGTTTCTTCGCTTCCTCCTAGGTCTTTCACTGCAGACCAATCAGAGACTCCTACAAGGTCTGATGACAAACACAGGAAGTAGCCCACTGATCAATCAGCAAACAGTTCATTACATTAAGGAGAAGATCAATGAGAATCTGTCTGCAGAGAAAAGCATCAACCTGTTCCACTGCCTGAATGAACTGAATGATCGTTCTCTGGTCCAGGAGATCCAACAGTCTCTTAAATCAGGAAGTCTCTCCACAGATAAACTTACTCCTGATCAGTGGTCAGCTCTGGTCTTCATCTTAGTGACATCAGGAGAAGATCTGAATGTGTTTGACCTGAAGAAATACTCTGCTTCAGAGGAGGCTCTTCTCAGGCTGCTGCCAGCGGTCAAAGCTTCAAACAAAGCTCTGTGAGTACTGACAGAATTTGGGTTTTCCTGGTAAAACCAGGAAAAAGTGACTATTATCCTGGTAAAGCTATTGTTTAGTTATCAGTTTTATAAAAATATCTTTTATTGAAATAGTCAGTAGTTAAGTTGATTTACAGATTCAGATTTAGCTAAGAGACCTGAAAAATATTTTTAATCTTGACACAAAATGAATCCTCTTATCAAGTGGAAAATAATTACCTTATTATTTGTTTCTTTTAGTTTTGTAAATCATGAATTATGTTCATCCCGCTAGACCAAGAAACAGAAATTAAGTCACAAATATATAATCTTTTTAAGTAAGAAATTTCATGTCATCTTAATATTATATCTCACTTTCCATAAATGTGCTTCTCAACCTGTTCAACAAGTCCCTCCTAAAGACCTTTTTGGTTACTCGATTTTCTGATTTAACAATAAACTTGCTCTATAGTTGCACCATATCTCCAGTCTACCTGACTTGGTAGCCATCCCATATATACATGCAGACGGAGATATGTTAAAATCCCACCAGAAATCATTGTCAATACAGCTAAAGTAATTCAAGTTGGTCCACATGTCATTCTGATTGGAGGGGCTACAGGCTGCTGCCCTGGCAGCTCTGACTTTCAGAAAGCATCAGACACACTGGATAAAGATGCTGCACCAAGGTGTAAAAGTCAGTAAATCATTGGTCAGATGTTCAAGGAGCGCATGTTGAAACATAAAGTAATATTTCTCAGATTTTTTTCCTAACTTCCATCATGTTCTTGCTGATGAAGGATCAAAGACTTGGACGTAGAGTTAGAGTCGTACATTCAGCAGCAGATAGTCTAAATATCTAATCCAGAAAGCCCATTAGTTTGCAGGTTATTACAGAGGAGACATTTTTGGGATTAAAAAATGTGTTATTGGAGAAACAGGGAGTAAATTTACCGTATTTCAGAGTGAAACAAGAAAGCTTTGCTCCAAAAAAACCTGACCCACTCAGTTTTCTATAATATGACAAACTGCATAAAACACATAAACAAACAAACAAATAATATAATAATAAAAGGGTTTTAAAAGTAACTAGAGAGACATATTTTTGATGAGTTGGACTTTCTCTCCTACTAGAGATGAAGTGAGAGAATATTCTGGAAGATCTAACTACAGCAATATACACCAAATACGCACCAACTAATAATCAATGAAGAGAATATTTCTGTGCTGATATAGAGCTGAACTTCTGGATCAAATCTAATACGTTTCGTGAATCCAGGGACTTTCAGTCAATCTCATCATCATATTACAGTGACATTAATGGGACACTTATCCAGCAAATTGTGCTTTATAAATTATCTACATACATGGCTCTTAAAAATTTCAAGTACAATTATTTCATTTCTTATGATGATTTAGAAACTGTTGAAATAACTGATGATTTATTTGTATTTTTTCTCTTTTTATATTATTTTCAGTTTAATACCACTTTAATGCTGGACTAAATATTCCCGATTTAGAGTTCATTCCTTCTCAGACTAATATCTTTCCATTTAAACCCTGTTAATCATTAACTTTACAGATACAATTTTTGGTTTGTTAAGGCCATTTTATCTAATTTGACCTCAACTGTGTGAAGTAACTTTTCCCAGTCTTCTAAAAAAAATAATCCTCCAATATGACTAGATGAGAATAATGATGGACTGACTGCAATAGAGGTCCTCAGTGAAGCGAACTCAAAGGAAAGATCAATACATAAAGTATGATTAGATCATTTTTTTATTCTACTGTTTTTAAGTACAATGTTAAAATGGGAGATAAAGTTTGTCTAAGTCTAAGTCCGAATATTCTCACATTTCGTCTTTTAGGAGGAGACAAAGTCCAGCTCATCAATAAAATGCTTTCTGTAGTTACTATAAAAAAACTTGACTATTAAATTTGATTGTTTGTTTTATCCAGTTTACTATAGAGGAAAACTATGTGAGTCAAGCTTGAAAAGGTTCAGTCTAGGCAACTGGATATGAAGTTTTCTGGAAGATGCTTCTCCTCTCATCCTAGAGGCTTCAGTTCTAACTAGTAGTGGGGAGCACAGAGATTAATATACTGTCGGTAGAGGTGCTTTTTTAAGCTTGACCATAACCTGGATGACTGAGAATCTTCCTAGATCTGTAAGAAAAGCCAAAATTTTATCCAGAGGTTGGTTAACTACACACATTAGATTTCTTGTTTTACTCTGTAATATAGTAAGTCAACTACCTGTTTCTCCAATAACTTTATACATGCCCACCTCTCTGAATGAATAACTGTTATTATTATCTTTATTCTCTATTCCCCCCAAAAATGTTTCCTTTTATTTAACCCATCTCTTATGGAGCAGTGAGCAGGAGTGCAGCACCCATAGAGTATTTCCAGGCTCATGCTGCTGGTTGTTTAGACACAGAGCCATTTGGGAATCAAACCAGGAAACTTGCAGCATTCCTTGACTAGGTGCTGTGTTTTAAACAACAGCCCCTCACTTCCTGCTTTTGAGGTATTTAACTCAACGTGAACCAAGTCTGTATTATTTAATTAGAATTATAAATAAAAATCTCCCTGGACTTTGATTGTAGAATATGCCTTACATTTGAATTAGAAGCTCAGCTCTAACTTAGGAGATAAATATATCTTCTAAAATAGTTATTAGCATGGTGTTTGCTGAATATTGAATATTAAATAATGAACCAGGGAGAGCCTGGAAGGTGAAGGCAACTGTAGTTCTCGTGGTCATTTGAGAACTCGGGGCAGTAACCTCCACACTGGAGAAATGGCTCCAACAGATAATTGGAGAAACATCAGAGGTTTCAGTCCAGAAATGCTCAGTTCTAGGGACAGCTAAGAGACTAAGAAAAACCCCTTAAGCTCCCAGGCCT